GTTTGACATATTTGATATTATCAGAGAAAGAAAAATTAATGATAGCTGCAGTGGCGGAGGATTAACAGTGATGGAGGTGAGAGCTTACTGGTGATGGTGATTTTGGAAAATAAGATTTGTTTGAATAAAAAAAAAAGAAAAATATGATTTTGAATAGGCTCAGGCGCTTTAGAGACGTGAGAAACAATTTTTTTGCCACGTCAACAAATCGTGCCTAATAGGTACAAGTTGATGGAAGTTCAAGTGTTCAATAGGTACAAGTATCAATTAAGGTGTCCAAGTGAAAATTGGAGCCACGTTTAAGGGGCCTTATTTGGCCTACAATCTACTTACTGAAACAACATCCAATAGATACATTCAAGATATAAAAAATGGGATTAGCTCCTGTACATTGACTCATATCTCCTAACAAAAGTTGAAGGAGCTGATAAAGTTCCAGAATAAAGAAAGGCTATTTAACAAGCACTCCTAACTACAGTCCACTTAAAACAAGCTATTTTTGTAGGACTTTTTGCCTTCCAAATCAGCCTTCAAGGCCAAACTTCAATAATATTTTTACTTCTAGACATCCTCCCATACTTTACTTTGAATTGACCTTCCTTCCCCAGCTCATAGATACTTCCAACAAATCAAAACCTCTTTTAAATTATATTGTGCCGGTAAAATCTTTTTGGTTTGGGGTTGACATCAAGAAATGTCACAACAGTATGTGAAGAAGTTTTGGGATACTCCAAAACCACCTCTGATGCCTTTTTTGATATGTCAGCAAAGTCGGCCCAAACAATTATCAATTTTTCCAATACTCGCGCATTCTTCAGGAAAAACCTTAGTAGCTCCATCTCATTTTCTTCATATTTAAAACCAGTCAACTGAATCATCTTTAGATGAGATTTCAAGCACACTATGCTTTCACTAGGGTCATGCAGCTTCCAGTTCTCATCCCAGCCAAAATTCTCATCCGAAAACAAATTAAGAACCTCCAAATTAGGAGAATGCTTGAGCAATAATATCATAGCTTGCATGCAAGCTTCATCAATTCCCACCGTCAATTTTAAGGACTTGAGCTTATAAAACATGACCGGAGAGTTTCTTACTTCATGAGCCATCCGATATACACCCCGAACAGAAACCATGCATAATTTCAAAGCTGAAGTAGAAGGAACATTCTTGATCATCTTATACGTAAGCATGCCAATTTCCTTTAAGGGGTTACGCACATCGAAAAAGAAGACGTGAACAACTTCTATAGGGAAGAGATTCTCTATAATTATATCCTTTGCCATTGGAGCACCATATTTCAAGACCTTGAGATTTGGGCAAGAAATTTTGACATTACAATTGCTGTAACTTAGTCCATTGTTAGCATAGTTTACTATATACACATAAACCAGAGATGTCGAAGCAATATCAAGCACAGTCATAGTTCCAAAAGTACAATCTCCTAGTATTAGTTTTTCAAGAAGAGGACATGTTGAGAACAAGCAACTCATCAAATGCTCGTTCGATAACTCAACTTCCAAAAGATGAAGCAATTGGAGCTGACAAAATCCCAAATGATTAGGCAACTTAAGCATATCCCCAGACAGTTGTAATTTCAAAACTCGTAAAGATTCACAAGTTGCAACACAATACGGCAACTCAAATGGCTCAGCAAGACGAAAACTTAACACAAGTTCTTGAACATTTCGCTTTGTTATCACACGAATCCACCGGAAAATGGCCACCTTATCAAAAAAATTGCTAGAACAGATTTTAAAGCGAACAAGTCTAGTGTTAGTGGCGCATCGGGAAATTAAGACCCAATTGATAAAATCTTTGAATTGCTCAGCCAATTGTCAATCCCAAAGCCGTTTAACCCGTTCATTACCAAAGCGAATAATATCAAAATGCAAGTAAGGC